TTGCCCAACCCCAGTGGCCTTGGGGCCAGGGTTACAGCTTGTCGCGTGGCTCCTGGGCAGGGCTGGACAAAGAGGGTCTCTCTGCAAGGAGACCTGCAGAGCCAGGCAAAAATAATAATAATAAAAATGCTAGCACACATTTCTGTGACCCTAAGCAATGCCCAGGCTCCCTGGTCACCTCAGTGACTTTGTTAGCATTTAAAAACCCAAATACCTGGGGTCTCAGGTGGGCACATCTGATGGCCCAGCCACCATCTCGCTTGGGAAACCCCTGGCCCATCCCACACCCTGCAACCTGCCCTTGCTCTTCCTCATCTCCAGCATGCTAAAAAAGCCCAAAGCATGGTTTACTGAAATTGCTACAAAATTCTGCAACCGAACGGACGGTCCTGGACACTGTGGTGAAACGCCCTGGCCCTTCTCCAGATACTTTGTGCATCAAAGCCCTCCTGTTGTGAAATGCAATGTACCCTCACCCCTGAGGTTCATGGACCAGGGCTGCAGCTCCAGCTTATTTGAAGCTCCTGGAGCTTGCCCCAAGCCTGTCCATGGCCCCGTTTTGGCCTCCACTTTGTGCCTGAGATTAACATCAATGTTTCGCAGGTTAAACAAACCCCCAAACAAGTCAGCTGAGTCAGCAGGCAGAGGATTTTAATGAAGAAGCACTGGAAAATCTCGTTTCGCTCCTGATCTTGGCCACCCGGAGCCAGCGCGCGTGCGCCGGGTCTCTGCAACGTTGAGAAACAACAACAACAAAAAGCAGCTGCAAAGTGCGGACACGGTCCTAAAAAATAAAAGTACACCTTTCAGCCACACCTCCATAGCTCAGAGCATACCTTGGGTGGGGAGAAACCACCCTTGGCACAGGCTGCTGCTCACCTGAGGAGATGAAGTGAAGTTCCTGGAGTCCCACCCACTATTATTTGTCCTTTCATGAAGAGATTCTTGCTCAGGGCAGGGGACGGTCCCTCAGCGCTGAAGCAGTGGGGCAGGAGGATGCTTTCGGGTGAGCAGGACTACGTGGCGCTTGTGCCCACCAGGTGTGCGAGGATGGGGATGCTACAGGGGCTAAAGAATTCTATGATTCTACTCCCGGGTCACCTTCCTGCCCACCCACCTGGAGGACGTGACACACCGACCTTGCTGGGAAAAGCCACAGGGACCCCTTTTCGGGAACTGCCCCAGAGCCTTAAGCAATGCGCGAACATGTTGTGAAGACGACCGGGATGAAACAGAGACATTTCACAACCGGCGGGGCCGGGCAGCCGGGCTATAAGAGCTGCCGCGCTTGGGACCAGCCCTGCTCCCTCCGAGCGGACCTCACTACTTGGTCAAGATGAGCAAGGCAAGTCCAACGGTGACACGGGCATTTCGGGTCTCCACGGTTTTTTTTTTTTTTACAGGTGCCGGTTGGGCCATCGGAGATTCAAGGACCTTTGGGGGACCCTCCTGCCATCGGTTGCTGGTGGCAGAAGATCACCATCTCCACTCACACAACCCTCAAGGAGAGATGTCTCCTTCCAGAATACGTTCCCTGCAGCACAGCCTGACCACCGAAAGGGGCTCCTGGACATCAGATCTCATACTCTCTGTCTCTACAGAGGTTTCTTCAGAGCCACCAGCTATTTTGGGAGCTTTGCTGTCTGATGGCATGTTTTGGTGGAGGGGGAAAGTCGGCTTTTAGCTATTATCTGTAGTGGCACATCCCGGAGCAGAAGGTGGCAGAGGTTGCAACCTCCTTCAGTCTCCCTTGGCTTACAGATAAGAGAAAACTCAGAAAAAAACCCCCCAACCAGCTCAAATTTATTCCCCTAAACAGAAGAACTGAACAAAACCAGGCTGTGTCCTCCTCTGACGTGGAGCCGGTGGCTCCTGGGTTTATGACAGATTCCCCATCCATTGTTGCTCCTGACGTTATCCGGTGTAATTGTTTCTCTTCCAGACCTCCCAGACCCAGGAACCGCGCTCCGAGCTGGAGAAGGCCATGGATATCATCATTGATGTCTTCCACCAGTACTCAAGGCGGGAAGGGGACAGGGACACCCTGACCAAGAGCGAGCTGAAGCTCCTGATTGAGAAGCAGCTTGCAAACTACCTGAAGGTGAGTCAAGCCAAAGTCGGGTTTCTCATAGCTCTTGCGGGGAAGGAGCTGGGCTGGACCTCGTTGCCTGTAAATCTCCAGGATCTGGGATCACCAGGCTGAGGGTCCCACCCAGTTAGAGCTGTGGATGACGGGACTTTCCCCTCACCCTGTCCCTTCTTTTGCAGCACGTGAAAAACAAGGCCACCATCGATACAATCATGAAGGACCTCGACCTCAACAAGGATGCGCAGATCAGCTTTGGCGAGATGATGCTGCTGATCGTCCGGGTGACCATTGCCACCCACGAGCACCTGCATGAAGTTGAGGACCAGCAGCACCAGCACAAACACCAGCACCAACACCACCACTGAGGTTGGACCACAGTCCTTGGCCAAAAGCACCCAGGCAGGGCTTGCAGCCCTCGGCTTTCTCCCCTCCATCCCCCTCTGCCCACCTCCCTTTGTCCTTTCTTTCCTCCAGGTTTGAACGGTTTTGTAGCCAAATAAAGATTTGCCCTCAGGCTGCCAAAGCTCTCTGCATCTGTGTGGGCTTTATTTGAACACCGTGCTCTCTCCAAGCGTGTCTTTAAACCAGGCAAATCCACCTCAGAGACAGGCTGCACGTTCTCAGGGATGAGGTGGACACCTGAGGAGCCAGGGGCTCGTTGCAGCTGGTGCTCACAATACTCCTTACACTATTTACGTGTTCCATAGGTCAGGGAAGGCATAATTCAACACGTCTTTACGCTTCCAACTAGAAGAAAAAGCCTATTTTAGCCTGTGTATCCCCTAGGACTAAGCTGTAGGCAAGAGCTGGAAGGATGAGTACCCTTTTCTGGAGAAGCACCCTTTTTTAGGGCACTTCTGCTCTGCAGAGCCCTGGCACGGGGCTGGAAGGGAGCTGGAGGGGTGGATGCATTTAGTTTTAGTGCTACCGCCAGCAGCAAGGCCTGGCTGCTGGGTTTTATGTGTTCAAGACCCCAGAAGACCCCCAAGTCTTCACTCAGAGCATCCTGAGCTTGCACTGAGGAGGCGGCCGGCATCAAGAGCTGCTTTCCAGAGCTGGTGGCTGGAAACACCCACGATGCTGCTGAGCAGCCTCTCACTGCACGCACTCAGAGCCCAGCTGCAGGTTTGCAAACCTCTTTTGGAGGGGAGAGGTTAGTAAAAAAAAAAAAAAAGCAGTTGTGATTTCCTAAGGGTGAACAAACCCCTGAAATTGCCCCGCGCTGGGAAGGAACCTGCCACGAGCTTCCCCAAACCAGCAGCACTGAAGCAACTCCCCTCCACCCGATTAAACACACGCCAGCCGCAAATTTGCTTCACCGCTGCCAGCCAGGTTGCTTCAGCTTCCTTTGGAGCTGATTTTGACATCGGAAAGGTCAAACACCTTCTTATAATGTAAAAAAAAAATAAAAAAAAGTCATCGGATGCAAAGGTCGGAGTCCACTCAGCTCTGCCTGAGCCTGCACAAGGTGGCAGGTCCCCTGCACAGTCAGATCATGCACCCAACGCTCCATCCTGTGCCCAAAAATGGGTCCTGCACCCCACCCTGCAGCACTTTAGAGTCTCTGGAGTAGTTAAGCGTCCCACACACAAGGAGGAGAACAGAGCTAGTTCATTGCCATCAACCCTGCCAGTGACAGTGAGGTCCCCAGGGCTGGCCCATAAGGACATGCCCAGCTTTCAGGACAAGGGTGGTTGGGGTCCCCATTTGCAGCAGATCAGCTTTCCAGGAGCTCACACCCTGCTGCTCCGTGGTCAGCCCTCCTGCTCTCTCCAGCAGAGTGGTTTCCCGGTGCAGGGGGCCAAGCACACACCAACCCGGGTGCTGGGGGCACCCACAAACCACCCTGGGACCTTCCCCCCAGGATCCCGGCAAGAAGCAACCTCGAATCTGGCAGCACTGATGCAACAGGATATTTGCCAACACAGCGAGACTTCGAGCTCCCCTGCAACCCGGGGTGCAGCACTCCTGTTGTGTCACCCACCGGGGCTGTTGGACCATCACACCGGAGGTGACAAAGTACCAACCAAGGCAAAACCCGAGCGCAGAAGGACCAGGACACCAACACAGCGCTGCAAGCAAAGAGCAGCGATCGCCGGGTTTTCCTGTGAGAGCAGAGGGCTCCCCACACCTGTACACATCCTTTCACCCCAACAAAAGGCGCTCGAATGAGGATGGAGACAGCTCCTGGGCTCCTCCAGCCCTGCCACCCCAGGAGCAGATCTCCAGCAGCACGAAGCTGGAGGAGGACAATCCCTCCCAGCCCCACCTGCCTTCACCTCCAGGGATGGAAAGCAGGATTCAGCCTCTGCGAGCCGAGCACCAGGCTCCTGCTGCCACCATGAGGACACACACCGATGTGCAAACATCATCTTTCACCCTCCCCTTCTAGCTTCAGCAGCCTTTTCTCTTTTTTTTTTTTTGCATCATCTCTTCTTACCTGTATCCTGCGGGCAGCAGGGGGAGGGAGAAGGGCTGCAGGTCCTCCCTGGCACAGCTCAAAGGCGCAGGCGAATGGTGGATGCAGATAAACGCTAAACCCTCTTTATTTCCCTGTTCTGAGTAGGGGTCGTGCACCACAGCTCTCTCCTTGAGCTTTGCTCCAGTGTGGAGCAACACCGTCAGCTTGCGCTCGTACCCTGCCAAGGGTCCCAGCCTAAGGCTGTACGTAAGGACTGTGTGTCCCCTAACTGCCACCCTGCCCCATCCAAACAGCCCTGGGGGAGCCCAGCTGGCTCCTCACACTGCTCACTCCCCTCCCAAAGCTGGAGAAAAACAGACTGAAGCCTCCAGGGCGGTTTTATGCCCGGCTCTGCAATGAGGAGATGTGATCCAGCTGGGGCTGAGCTGTGCCTCCCAGCTGGGACCCATCAGGGACCTCCTCCAGCCACCGTTAACCTCCTCCACCTGCTGCAGACCCCCTCTCAGACCCCTCCCCCCTGGGTCGGCAGCCCGGTGGGCGACACACGAGCAGGGTTGCACAACACCTGGCATGGTGGCAATTAGGGGACGTTGATGTGCCTCATATTCGTTATCAGTTTGGTCACATTGATAAGGATGAGCCCTAGTGGGGATAAACTGGTTCGTCCTGGGGT